GACTTCAACTCCCAGAATTCCCCAGCCAGCAGAATTCTGGGAGTTGAAGTCCACACATCTTAAAGTTGCCAAGGCTGAGAAACACTGCCCTACAGCCTCTATGCTATGCTCATAGAGAAGTAGCTATAAATCTATATCTCAAGAACCAATTTCATACCGGGCTGGAGATCTGGGAGTGGTGAATGTCAAGCAACTCCACAGAACTACAGTTCCCGGAATTCTTGGTGAAAGCCATGCCCATTTAAATTAGCATGGAAACGATTCTAGTTTCACATGCTCTCAACCACCTATTCAATGTGCAATTAAAGCAAAAGCCACAGAACCAACACCCTAGCTTTTTTCACCAAAGAAACCTTAAAATTACTGTAAGGTCCTACACCCTCTCCCCTGTGGACTATCTTTCCCTCATCTGCCTCTTTCAGATGTGTGGGAACTGTCATCCTAACACAGCTGGAGAACAGGATTTCTGGAGAAGATGCCACAGCACTTGCCTATCTGGAACCAGAGTCAAGACCATTCTGCAGCATTAAGATACAAGGGCTGTCTTTGTAGACACACACTTTTCTTTCTTCCTGCACTCTGAGACCACGCTACCTAAATGCAACAGCTAACTGGCCTGTTTTCAGCAGTGCGATTTTAGTTTCCCTCAAAATTCAAAAGGGAAATGGGAGTGGGAACTTTAGTCTTCACCCTCGACTCACCAAAAGAGCCCAAAAGTGTACCAAAGTTCAGCCTGTTTGCCTCCCAGTGCCACAATTTGGGAGGCTTTCCAAGGGTGGAAATCAGACTAGGGAGTTCCCCAAAAGCATTCTGCTCCTGTACCCACTCTTAAGACACCTAAACTTTCTATGAGATCACCTGGAATTGGAGTTGGAGGAAGAAACAATTGCCGTATCTCTCCTCTAAGTATAATGTGGTCTGTTTGTGCCACAGCATGGTATCTTAACACAGCCATTAGGGATTGTAAACCAGATTATGACAACAGTAGACAAAATGAAAAGTCCCAATGTCCTTTTTGCAGTCCCTGAAGATCACCTGCTGAAGATCACCTGCTGAATTTTGGCAGCAGTTCATCATTATAGCATGTTTTAACTTCCCTTAGCAATCAATAGAACAATTGAGTTAGGTTTTCAAAAGGCTTAATGGATCTTTAAAAAAAGAAAAAAAAGCACCATGCAAATTTGCAAAGCAGCTAAAAATATCTGTCTTTATCCCCTCTTGGTAACACTGCCACTCCCTAGTAGTAAATAAAGAAAAAGACTGCAGTCCCTGGCTGCAAAAAATTCCCACTGGATCCCCAATTGTGGCTTTGCTCAGTTACTCAGCCCTAAAAATGCATGTTCTCTGTTAAGAGCAGAACCTTAACTGGCTAAATGGATCCATGTTCTGCCCAGCAATAAGAGTTTGCAATTTTCCTAGTCAAACTACAAATGTGCAAAACATATTTTCAAGCAAAGAATGGCTGCATTTCTAATGGGAGCACACACTAGCACGGTGTTTCTCAACCATGGCCACTTTGAGAGGTGAGGATTTCAACTCCCAGGATTCCCCAGCCAACTTGCCATTGAGTGCTGCATTCCTTGAAAACAAGACTCACTAGCCTGTTTCAATGTTTCCATCACCCATCCATGGCTTTCCCAAGGCTAGACGCCCAGCTCATTCTATTGGCCAATTGAAGCCAGTACCCTAAGAATGAGAGCTTATTTGTGGAGGGTAGGGCAAATTCTAAGCTAATTTCACTTCTTGGCATGGACCCAAAAAAAGATCTGAAGCTGTTATAGAATTAAACACTGCTATTCAAGAAGAAGAAGAGGGCCCATCACATTAATACCCACGGCCAAGATTCTAATTCTCCAAAGTGTTGATTGTGATTTCAGTTCAAGGCTGAGCTTGAATTCTTGCATTTACACAGAATAAAATAAGCTAATTGCATTTACATCAAGAGATGCTACATTCACTGCAAGCCTTCCACTGATTAGTATTTTCATGGTTTTGTTTTGTTTTTTAAAGCCTTTTCTTCGGTAGAAGGTCTTCGGCCTCATTTTTCACCTTCTATTGCTCCTACCTTCGTGGGTAGGAGCAACAGGGGCCTTCTCCCAAGAAAAGTTCACTAACAGCAAAAGGACTCCATAAATCACTAACCATGTAATGGAAAATTCCCAATATGCTACTTTAATAAGAAATAGTCCTGTGTGGAACCAAAGCATTCGTTGGCTGACCCAGCAAGCAAATCTTAAGGTAGCAGATGCTCTTCTGAGTGCCAGACAGGAGTTTCCCAGCTGTATCTAGGGAGCAAGTACCCTATCTGTCCCCTGGTGCATTCCAACACACATTCCACCTCCAAACTTCAGCTGTTACTCTTTTGGGGGAAATAAGCTTTATGTGGGATAGTCTAGCTCAAAACAAGGCTGGACAGCAGTTCCCTATCCTCAGATACCCACACAAATCTGTCCACTAGCATCAGCTGCTTTGCCTTTAAAGCATTATCCATCTCAACCTCTCAGTGATCTAAAACTGGACCTGGAGAGAAGAAGAATTTTTTTTTTTTGCCATTTGGACCAGCTACCTTCCAAAATTCCAACCCCAAAACAATAAGTGGATAAGGTGCATACATCACAACACATTTGGGCTTAGCATAGAAGCCTTCCATATAGATGTCCTCCAGGAAGTGGATTTCAGTTCCCAGGATTCACATCCAGTATGCCACTGTTGAAAGTACCAATAGAAGAGAATCTATGCAGCTCAGGGTTGAATTGTGGAGTCCTTGGGGTTCTCTGAGCTTGGTGGTTTTCTTGCAGACGTTCCATTATCCGGCTAGGTGACATCTTCAGCGCACTGAAGATGTTACCTTCAGCGCAGTGAAGATGTTAGCAAGCCGGGTAATGAAACGTCTGCAAGAAAACAACCAAGCTCAGAGAACCCCAAGGACTCCACTGCTGAAAGTGACAGGGTCTGAAGAGTCCAATACCTGAAGCACCCCAAGACTGGAGAAGGCTAGCACAGCACAATAACATGTGCAGTCACTGCCATATGTGCAAAAGGAAATCAGAGGAGGAAGACAGCCAGGTCCCTTTTGAATTCCCACCACCAAAAGAAGGTGGGGATAAAGCTTTGTCTCTGACAAGAAGATCTTGATGCAACCCTCTCCCCAATAAGGGGATGAGCTATTAATCAGTACCCTCCCTAGAGAAGAGACCTTTCTCCATGACGGTCCTTCTGCCATGACAAGCATTTTGCCTGCACAGTGAGAAGATGGTGAATCCTGCAAGGAAAAGAACACCCATAAAAGTTACTTGCAGAGCTATGCTGCACTTTGTTATCAATGCAGCACAGTGAAGGTTGCAGCCATTTATCTGAGGCTTTTTAAAAGGGGGGGAACCTTTCTCATCCTTTTGCACAGTCAATTATACGGCTGCACGAGGGAGGTTCCCTCATGGGCAGCTTTTCCAGGGGGGCAGAATGTCCAAATGCCCCCCTTGCATGGATCCAGTCCAAGAGGAACTCCATCTGCAGGCTAGGAGGAGGCAGCTCTCACTCATGAAAAACCTTGGCCAAAAAAGAGACACCCCCTCCCATTTCAAAGCCACTACTCTAGAAGAATCCATGCCAGTTCTTCGGTGTCCATGGGGTAAGGGACTGGATTGCGGAAGGATACACAAGGTTAAAAGCCGGCAAAGAGAACTGCCACCACCTAGCCACACACCCCCATATAAGGTCACGTTACTCCACCTTTTCCCACATGACAAGGCAATTTCTGAGACCACCTCTATAAAGCTCCCCCTCCCCTTTAGTTTTTTTTTTAATCTTTGCCATTTGCAGCTCAAAGCAAGGCATAGTCTATCAACCTTATGCCTTCAAAGGAGGAAGACACCCCACTAGATTTTCTCCCAGCACCCCAAAAAGTCTCAAGGCTGATTCAAGTTAAACTGCTGCCCCACCCCCAAAAGAAAAAAAGGGGGGATAGGATACATCATTATTTCTCTAGCAAGACACAGGGAAGGTTGGGGGAAGGCCAGGATAAAGGAGTCCAGGAAGATTCAGATCAGTGGTACCCATCCATTTCCCCCTCCCATGCAGCGGAGGAGGGAGGCAGGCAAGTCAAGGGAGAAGAAAGGGGCTAGTCCTCCCCTTAGTACCTGTAAAGAAAGGCTGAGTCGGCCAGAAGAGCATCTATGGATCTCAGCCAAGGTGGGCACAAATTAAAGGTAGATTAAAACTAGAGGTACGTTAGAATTACAGGTAGATCCCAATCGCCAGCCCAGGAGAGCTGCGAGGCGGGGGGGGGTGTGTGAGGGCCGCTGGAGGGGAGGGGGGAGGTGGGCACCCGGGCTCCCCTGGGGGAGAGCGTCCTCCTTTACTCAAGGGGGCCAACTTGCAAG